TTATAAGACTGTGCAACAAAGAATTTTTTTATCTTCTTTGATTTTTCAATGGACCCAAATTAAAGGTTTGCTGATCTCAAATTTTCAACCTGTTTTCTCCAAGAGATCTGAGCTTCAGGAAATATTTTAAGAAATTCGAGTTTTATATTTTCAGTGAACTTGTAATGAATGAATATATTACCATTATTGCCTAAGGCGTTCTTTCCCAAACTTCCTTTCTTACTTCACAAAAAAATTTTTTCTTAAAATCAATCTGCGGTTGATTATATGGATGGGATAAACTTTTGTGTTAAACAAATATCTACTCTCAAGTACCGCTCAACACCTTTTTATATCCTTGATTCCTATCGCATTATCTCTAATCAACAACAAAGTCTTTAAGGAATTAATACCACTTTCCATTGTGTGACTCGACCTTTTTTGGTTAACAATAAATACATTTGCAAATTTCAGACAAAAATTAGATGTCTGAATATCATTTAGAACATTTCTTCATCGATATCTGCAATATTTATAAACACATATATATATTTATGTATATGATTGTTTAAAGATATATATAAAATATTCTCAGAAATTGTGGAATCAAAATAACGTTCTTAGCTAATTGGGGAGTATTTGTTGCTTCTTTTACTTCAACTAACTAATTGACTATATATATATATATATGACATATATATATGTTATATATATATATATATATATATATATATATATATATATATTATATATATATATATTATATATATATATAGTCAATTAGTTAGTTGAAGTAAAGAAGCAACAAATACTCCCCAATTAGCTAAGAACGTTATGTTATATATATATATATGTTATATATATATATATGTTATATATATATATATGTTATATATATATATATTTATTTTTTTTATTTATAATATTAAGTGCATTAAGTACATGCTTTTTATTGCACTATCTTAAAAACTAACTTAAAAGCTAACAAGATATTTATTCAAGTACAATTTATTTTGAAAATTACAAATAGTAGAAAATAATAAAATTGAGTTAAAAAATACAATTTTGCTATAATTTCAAATTGGATATTATTATATGATATAAAGGAAGTATAAAAATTAAACTAATATTAACATTTAATTTAAAATAAAAATAATATATCAAATAAGTTCAGTTATATATATATATGTATTGCATATATATATGTATTGTTATATATATATGTATTGCATCATGAGTAACATAGTTGTATTACACTCGTTGAATTAACTTTTTGTGTATTTTATTCTGGATAAATCGTATACTAAATGTACCCTTTTTTCTACATATATTAATAGAGTTGCAGGCAACCTATTACTTTTTGGTTAACAAAATTAAAGAATAATAGTATCAAAGTACTCGGTATCTTCCATAGTTTTAAATTCAAAAAAAGGTTTCCAACACTTTATTTAAGAGGAGTCTATTTTGTTTTAGTATATATGTGCAAATTTATTTAGATCCCAAATATCCTCTCATAAAATTTAATTTATCATATGTTAAATAAATATTTTTTTACTTACCGCTTCTCCAATATTATTGCATACAAGCGCCATTGTCAAAAACAATAAAGTGGGTAGCAACCATATTACAGATTCAATTAAAACATATGCAATACTGCGATTTCTATAATAAATATCACTCGATACAGCCATGCTATATATGCTGGACGTGATATCTAGTGTGCCAAAAAGCGCTGAAAGCAACAGAACTACACCATACGTAGTACTTATATCTTCACTGCAGAGTAATAACAATTTATCATGTAAGGAAAGTAATTTCTGCAAATGATCCATATTATGTGTGCTCAGACGACCGGGCTTCTCGAATAATAATGGTATCGATGTGGCTATATGGTTGAACAGTTCACGTATAGCTGATATAATGCAGATATAAAATGTTAATAGAAACGAAGTTAAAATGCAGCGTAATATATAGGTGATGTTTGGTATCATAATTATATCAAGGCTGGCACCAAATGAAACAAATGTCTGATAAGCGTTTAATACATAGGCTAAGCACACTGAAGTTAAGACAATTAGCAAACCCTTAGATATATCGCGTTCTTCTAACATACCACTACCGAGAAATTGAGTGCTCAATACTTGACATTGTTTAATAATGAAGAAATGTTTACGTTGCAACATTAAAAGCCAGGAATTCAGTAAAATCTGCGTTGCTGCAGCCGTCAACAGTAGAAAGTAATCATAATAACTGCCAGTTTTAGAATCGCTCTCGATATTCCTATCTCCCAAAAATAGTTCACGTTGCACTATTAATACGACAAATGCGCCAACAAATATGGTTTGCGAAATGCTATGGATCAAGTAAAATAATAATCCACCGCGTAGCACGTAGCCTTGCGCATTTTTATCGTAGGTTAATGGCAGCAAACCCAAACATTTTAAGATTCGGTAATATATATTTATGCCGAACTTCATTTTAAATTATATTCGATTAATTATTATATATATGTCGGTGCACGCTTTTACTACACTAGACGTGAATCGTTACTTCCACAGCAACGAACAGACACGTACAACTTCAGATTGAAATGATTAAAGTAACTTTTAGAGTTCATCGTAGGAAATTCGTTGCACTGCCTTTTGACAGTTGCATTACTAATTTATTGAACACAATTTACACAAACAACATAACATGTACATTGAGTATGTAGTATATTATATAGTAAAAAAGCAAAACCATTCAACCGGTGGACAATCATCAATCAACAAGCGTACGCAATTAGTTTACACAACAGAAATTTAATTCTTTACAAACATTTTAATTTATTTCCTTGCACACCATCGACGCCTATTTGCTTATTTATATAATTGAACCGTATCTCGGTGGGTAACTTCACACCTATTACACTAGTTATGAAAATGTCCTTGACATATACTATTATTATTATTGACCTAGCACTATTTCACGGGCTTCATTTATAGACTTGACTTCACGTTTTATGTTATTAATATAAAATAAATAAAAATAAAAAAAGTATTCTCACTTTTGAAACTGTTGAAATAAAGTAATTTCCGCCCAATTACTTCCAACGTGAACTAATTTCGTATCTACCACTTTGATAAAGTGGTAGATATTCCTACTGTAATTGGTAATCGACATATCAACATACTCCGATCAGTTGAATAAAAAAATGACGATATTTTTTCCTTTTAGGAAAATCTTCCTACTTCATAATGCAAGTCTAATGGTCTAATGGCCATTGTTTAGTTCCTAATCTTTCGATCCTACCTTAGAAAGTATTAACTATACATCACTCATTCTTAACTCCGATTTAAAATTTAATACTGATTATACTTCTAGGAGCACTTAGCTGTCAGGGGGTCCCATATTAGAAGACCGTTTAACCATATATATTGAAGATTCAAAAATGGGTATTTGTGTATACGGTAGAATTTTCTTACAGAATTTGAAAACATCCATGTGTTGTAAACCTCTCTATCGCAGCAAAAATTAGTTTGTTTTTGAGTGAATAATGTATTCGATTAGTATATGTACATACTAACAAACAGTTCAGCAGCTTTAATCTTTGTGTTCAGTATAATTTATGACTAGATGAATTTCTGACTGGTATGAAACATCTCTGAACACATTTCAACATTTCTCTTCTCTGGATCCGCGCTCACACATAACAGGCAATTACAAGATGTATAAACTGTCCACACGGGATGTCTCAATCGGAACATTAAAAATTTTGAACATGTCGCTATTATCATGCAAATAGTTGTTGAAATCTTCGTATATTCAGCAATTTTATATAAAATGGGAATATCAACTGATACCCAGACACCTGTAACTATCTCATGAGATGCTCTGTAGTGATATCTTATGTCTTATGGTAGGCTTGTTTAGCGAACTATGCTAGAAAATCGACGCTTCTGTTCAATGATTCCTGTTGCAATTGTGAGGAAGACGAAAAAAGCCACGATTCTAAAAATTATATTCTCATAATGCCTTAGTATATTGATATGCTATTTTAGGTAGGGCTAAAGCTGTGCAACTACTTTATCCTATAAAAAGACACTTTTCCTCAGCAAAACAAAGCTGAGGTGGTTGGTAGATTTAATTCAGAACTATGGTGCTATATAAATAACTTATATTTTCCGAAATATATAAATGCTATCTCTGCCTGGAAAGATACGAGTTCTAGTCTCTTTCTATATTATCAAATTTAATTACTTTTGTTATTTAAACTTCATCAGATGCAATGAGTTAAATAAGTTTTTTGGATTGCTAACTTTGATATGTTTTAGGAAGTGTTAGGAAAATATTTTGGAATATTATTAGAATAACATCACGTTAAAGTAAATATGATGTTTTTGCTATATTCGTTGCTATCAAAAAAAGTATATGCAAAAATAAGCTTGTCGCTGAATAAGAACTAACATAACTGCAGTATATGTTGGCGGCTATCAAAAAATTACTAAGACAACCAGCTGGCTGCTGGCGACTATACTTTATACTATATTGTTCAAGACTTTGTCTATACTATATTGTTTAAGACTTTGTCTATTTTAATAGCCCTATTAATAATATTAATAACAACAACGACATAATCGGTGCTACTATTAACTATTAAAGCAACTGAAATGTAGACCGTTCCATCGATCCTATAAAATATTCCTAACGATATTGATCAGCAAAATAATATCCACCGCGTAATCCGTGAAAATGGAAGACAGTGCAAGTAAAGGCACTTGGAAACGAGTGCTACGAAATGCCGAAAATTTCTACGATGGGTTGTTTAGAGTTATCTACGTAAATAAAATAAAATGAAGAGAATAAAATTTATAATGCACTCAATTAACATTAAGTAATCAATCCCGTTATATATAATTATACATATATATTTACACTAATATGTGTTCTATAATATATGCTACAACTATATTTTATATAATATATAAATATATTTTGTATATAATTCTATTTTTATTTTTTTTTTATTTTTTCTATTTCAGAAAAGTGATTTTGACTTCTTTCAGTTTTCTCCCTCAAGTAGAAGTTACACTTATATTGATGATTGGACCAATGATACACTTTTTTCTTCTATAAATGTACCTTTTCCTTTTCCAGACTCAAGAGAAATCGGTAAATCAAATATACTTGTTATATATTTTAATATGTAATATAATACCATATTTATATGGCTTTTTTTTTTAAATTTAGCTCGTGGTGCTGGTAATTCTGATTTCATACAACCAAGTTTGGGACCCTTACAACCAAATATAGACGATATCGGAATAACATTTGAAGGTATGTTTAACTTAATAAATATTTTATTAAGTGATGTTTTCTCATTTCTACTTTGTTTTTTTTTTTATCCATTAGAACTACTTAATCCACGTTTGCCACCTGTACCCGAAGAAGGTGCTGATGATATGCTAAAAAGCGTTGAATATGGTTTTTCAGCGATTATGGGTAATTACGGCATATATATAATATAAAATTAAAATTTTTATTGAAAAGTAAAAATTCGTTTATCGTTGAAAAAATTTGTTTATTCAAAAGATTTATTAAGAATACTGCTCTTTGACTTACTTATTTTAAGCGGATTGAAATTGAGATCTATTATTTAATAATTCGTTTTCAAATTTCATATTACAAAGATTCATATTACTGAGAAAAAGTCACTATACATAGAACCATGTTTTAAACTTTCACCTTTAAAGTCTGTTATTATTAAAATAATATACAGAGCTCATGCTACATGATTCTTTATATAATCATTGATAGCGTTTCCAATGCAAGTCAACAATACTGAGAATAACATTTTATCCGTAAGTTCCTGCAATTTGAATTTTTTTTCTTATCTCAGAAAGTAATAAAAAATCATATCAAGCTTTCCTTATATTTAAATTAGCTAAATAGTTAAATCGTAGTTGAAATCAATTAAATACAGTCACCCCTCCATAACTCGAACTTCTATAACTCGAATTTTCTATAACTCAAACTAAAAAGAGTGCAACAGGCTTCTAGAGACATACAATTTTGTTTCCATAATTCAAACTTCTATTACTCGAATTTCTCTATAACTCGAATTTGCAAAATTATTTCTATAACATTGCTTCTAAACCTAAATGCATTTGTTATAATACTTGCAGGAGCTGACTCGATGGATCCGAGTAACATTATGGAAATCACTACAGGTGGCGTTAGTCAATTACAAAACACTGAGGATGCAAATATGCTGGAGCTAAATACACCATTGGACTCATTACCATATGAAGACCTTCAATCACAATTTGCACGTCAAACAAATTCAGATGCAGTTACACTATTAGGGAGCCAAGCAACAAACAACTCAGATATGGTTGTCTCAGATGATACAATTATGACTGATGAGCGCTCAGCTTCATTGCTCCCAGAAGTCTCTACATTGACTCGCGCACAGAACAAGCAATTTAGTAATATTTCCGACACAACATTGGGTAGGCAACTTTGCAATGATTTTACTGGCAAAAGTGTCATTAAAGGACGTATATCAAAACCATTTTCAAGACCTTTTAGGTAAATTTATATTTGATATTTATAAATTTTTTTTTTAAATATTCTAATTACAACTTTTATATTTTTTAAGACGTGAACCACATAATTATGATAAGACACAGCCAACATTGCATCAATTTAACATATATAAACATTTTGCTGAACAACAAAAGGCACAACAACAACAACATCAGTACCTCCAAACACAAATGACAGACAATGTATTACAAACACAAGCCAATTCTTATCAATGGCAAAAGCAACAACAACAGCAACAATCTCAACAACAACAACTGCTCTATTCGACTACAGGAGGTACACTCATTGGCAATGGGAACAATAACTACGCATTTAACAATGATGTGGCTGCCACAATTGGCGGACTACATGTAAACAACAATATGCTTGGCTTACAGGGTAGTATAAACAATGCTGACAACTATAACTTTGTACAAACAAACAGCAATGTACAACCACAGACACAGGTGACAACAACGGTTGCTGCAACACCTACACACAACATATTGCTTGGGACCAAAATAGAACAATCTCCTGCAAAAGTTCTATCCGTTTATAATTTAGCAAATGCAAACGATATTTATGTTAGCAACAATATTGTCAACAATAGTGTTGGTAGCAATAATACAAATGCTTATGAACCCTATTCAAAGTCTGCATCTACGGGTGCATATATAAATATACGCACATCCACAGTACCCCAAACTTATATGCAGGAGCAATCGCAACAAACAGCCACGCATATGCACGCACAATCATTGCCATTAAGTCTAAATGGACCATTTTCCGCATTAGCGAATTCATTACAACGAAATCAAGCACTTGCACAAAGTCAATTAACGCCTGCTTCTAATCAACAACAGCATCAACAACACCAACAGCAGCAACAGCAACAACAACAGCAGCAGCAACATTTGGTACAGCTGCATCAGCAGCAGCAACAAGAACAACAACAACAAAATCAAGTCAATTTACAAAAAGAAATGTATCGATCCAATAGTTTACCGCTCAGCGTAACTCGCATTTCGCAAGAAAATTTCGTTGTACCGAAATACACGAAAAACAATAAATCACGCACACGTAGTAACTCCATTCATCAGCACAGCGTTGGCTCAGCTAGCGGTACAAACAGTAAAATTTTAGTGTCACAACGATTACAAGAAGCTAGCAGCGATCCAATGCTGAACAGCACATTGGCACAATTGCTAACAACTAGTAAGTGAAAGTTGTTTTTTACGAAATAAGAATTTATCCTTTCAACGTTTATTGTTTTGTTCTTTCCACCAAATGAATACATTAATAAAAGTTTCTTACATTTACAGATACTAGAATGCCACAGTTGGGTAAACAACAAAGTTCTTCTACAAGTGCCATATCAAGCTTAAATGTGCCAATGACTATTTTACCCTTATCTTCAAAAACTGCATCTAATAATTCAACAATGGTCGCTGTGCCTGCTTCTAACATTTTTATGCCATTAACACAATCTTCACCAACAGCACAATTGGTTGGTGCTAGTAGTACACAACTGACAACAAATACAAGTTCAGTGCAAGAAGTGCTACAACGTCAGCAGCACCAAACACAACTGCAGCATCAACAGCAACAGCAACAGCAGCAACCACATAAATCGCCAAAGAAATCAACATCATTGCCAACGCCTAGTGTGACACCAATGATAATGCACAGTCCACCTAACAGTAAGGTTAGTAAATGGATAAAAATTATTCTAAAATCTTTCTTTTCTATAACTTTTTATACTCTTTGTAATATTGAGGGGAAGATTATATACAGTTTGTTGAGAAATTTGTAATCCAGCGTAGAAACTATCACGGATTTTAGAAACTACATAAGTTTTTAATTAGCAAAATGAAATCTATTCATTATAAGATATCTATTTGTCTATTGTTCGATCTGTTCATTCATTCTATTATTTTATAATCAAATGCAACTCTATTTTTCTTATTCTTCTTTTTTTGACACCATAATCCAGCGTGGACATTAACCTTCTCACGATATGCCACTATTTAGTTTGATCTGCTAACAATATCTTCTAGCAAATAACATTAAGGATTCATAAACATTGACTTTCAATCTTGTGTTTGCTCCACTTCTATATGTGCTTAATATCAGTTTGCCATTTAGAATGCTTTTAGCTGTTTTTTTGATTCCTTTATCTCAACATGAGCGACTTATTAAAGTCTTAATGTTTATGTCACACTTACTAGTCTTATTATTGTTTTATTTATTCGCAGTCTTATATAGATTTGCTTATTGTTATAACCTAGATTTTTAGTAGGTTCTTGTAACCTACATTGGGAATGGTGAATGATACTTGGTCGTCGAAATTGATAAGTGATCGCATATACCGACTGCTCTTGGAACCTTTTGTAGCCTATCATTTATTGTTCTTTCATAATCGTTATTTTTACATCACATCTCAATTACATCACTAAAATAAGTAAAGTTGTAAGCAACACCGATATAGGATTTAGCAATAGATATGCTGTGTCCACTTGGATTATAATTATTTTTAAATATTTTGAGGTATTTAGGTTTGCTATTTTTATTTTTAAACCTAAATAAAATATACCTAGATATGTATATTTAAAATAATTATCCTTAATATTTCATTCCACAATTGCAATAACTTCTATATATGATAGGACTTTAGTATTGTAATTCAGTGGCTTCTCAAGAACTAAATGGCGTAGGGACCTCGTTCTTCTATACACTTGGCGATATCTCCAGTATTAGCATTAGCCAGATTCTTGCCTTTGTAAATGCCTCTGGCTCGATCTAGTTTGACCTTCTTTCTACTACCCACTATTACGAGGTTTTTGTGGATTCAAAACGGCTTTTTAGCGAATTGAGAAGAGGACACATCCTCCCTCCACTACAACTAACTAACCGTAATATATTTGATCTACAATTGATTCGTTAGTTTTAATTCTTTAGTAATATTTACTGATAGTTTTACCTATATTAATCTATACTCCTATAAGCACTTAAAATTTTTAGTCTACGTCTAGCATGGCAGTTGGTCAATATCTATCTTATCTAATTTCGCTAGCTTTCTTGCAAATAAAACTTATCCAAACATTTTTTGTAAATCCAGACAGATAACGTCGACTACTGAATAAAGTAGTTACTATAACTCGTACCGTTCATACCGTTCATACTCGTACCGTATTAAGCTCTATATCTGACAATAAATTTCAAAATCGATATAGAAGGGAATCTATAAGTAATTTAGCCTAAATGATAAATTATGCCAATTGATAAAATGTCTATTTTTGATAAAAAAGTAATTCATAATATATTTTTGATCAAGTGGTTAAATATCTTTTCAATGGTCACGGCTATGAACCAAATCTCTAATTTCCAATGATTCAGTGATTCAATCCTCTGAACCATATATTTATAATTCGGATTTTCTAGCCTTCGTTGTTGTTGTTATGATCCACTAGAACCTGTAAGCAGATAACTTAAAAGGATATACAAGACGATTACATGGGTAGCGGAGTGGGTGGGTAGTGGTTGGGGGTGATGGATTGGGCAAGAGAATGGGGTGGATTAGGTGGGTGGGATATAATTGAACGTTAACCTGAATCCAGACAAAAAAAAACCCTGCCACTTCGATGGGGTAGGTCCTAAGGTCAATTGGACGGAGGTTTGTGTGCGTAGTAGGACAGGAGAACAGATACGCGACGTCATTGGGAGAAGAGCTACAGTTAGGGCACACATTAGGAGTAGACGTATTTACACGTGACAAGTAACTATTTAGCACTCGGCTACATCCTGATCTCAATTGAGCTAGGATAGTTCTTGCTGCACAGGGGAAAGGTCGTTCTTCCAGGGAGATGTCAAGCGAAAGTCTGTTGAGAACCTTGTTATCAGATAACTTTGATCTCAAAAAGTACACTGCATCTATGTAGAGGGCTGAAAGTCCACGTTTTTCTAGTTTTCGTAATCAATTCAATTTACAGTCTTACTAATGTAAAATAAAAGAATTAGAATCTAAATTAATTTTAAAAAATTTAATTATATACATATTACAAATTTTATATGTTTAATTGTTATTAATTGTTATTATAATACTTATTGTTAAATGTTCTTTCCTAATTGAATATTCTTTATTTTGTTCACAGTTATTAACTTATCCACCAACACCATCGACATCTTCGGTAGCGAGTTCACCACACATGCGACTTTCACCGGAATCATTTCATGATCAAGACTCACCGCTTTCACCGAGTCATAGCATTAAATATCCACGTGATATGCAACGACGTGCTGGACATATACATGCTGAACAAAAACGACGTTGCAATATTAAAAATGGCTTTGAAATGCTTAATTCACTTATACCACAATTAAAACAAAATCCGAATGCTAAGGTGAGGATTTCATTACTCAATAAAATAAATAATAAATATTAAATTTTTGAATTATAATTTAAATTTTACAGTTAAGTAAAGCGGCCATGTTACAGAAAGGCGCCGATCATATTAAATATTTACGAACTGAACGCGCCGCACTTAAAAAGAAAATGGAGACATTACAGGCAGAACGAGACGTTCTAAATAATTCATTAACGTAAGCACTTTTCTAAATACATAATATACATATAAGTATATAAATAAAAATTTATTTTAACATAAAATATATATACAGACACCTGCAGTCTATATTACCAGCAAATGGAGCTCCAGTAACACGTCAGGGTACGGAACATGTTCGTCAATTGTATGAACAGTACATCAAGTATGGCACTATGAACAATTGGAAATTTTGGATTGTAAGTAGTGATTAACATATATTCTGTCATAAAATCATATCACGTACTACCCTTATTTATTTTACAGTTGGGCCTTATATTGGAACCATTACTAGCTTCATATACTTCTTCAGTTTCAAGTGCCAGCATGGAAGAGCTGCGACGTACAGCATTTTTGTGGGTTGAACAACATTGTTCACTCATTGACTTACGTCCAGGTATGTCTATTACTCTTATTATTATAATTATTATTATTATAATTATTATGATTATAATTATTATTATTATAATTATTATTATTATAATTATTATTATTATAATTATTATTATTATAATTATTATTATTATATATATTACTATTATAATTATTATTTTTATAATTATTATTATTATTATAATTATTATTAGTATAATTATTATTAGTATCAGTATTATGCATTATTGTCTAATATTATTATTCAATTTATTCCATTATTATTTTTTTTTAGTTTGTAGCTATTTAAGAATGTATTAAAATTATTCGTTATTTTAGTATTAGAAATTTGTCTAAATTATTTTTAATCGCAGAACGATTAACTATTAACGACTATTAAGTGTAACGACTATTAAGTGTTATAGTTCAATTTTACCAGATTTCCAAATTTAATATGTATTATAATCCATTTCAAAATAATTATTTTAAGTAGTAAATTTATCAACTACTATGTATTATACAGTGAAAACTCTCATTAGTGGCCATTTGTGATTCAAATTGATTTCTTTCCAGCTAAAACGAGTAAAATCGTTGCAAATAATCATAAATAATTATAAATAATCATAAAAATATAAAGGTTTAAAAAAAATGTTTTGCTTAAAAACTTCTGTACGTCTGTTAGAAGAGTTCTCATTGTGTCTCTAATATTAAATTTAAAAGTCTAAAGGTTTGTGAATTGAAAATTATTTACTTTTATATACATCTTTATGATACTGTTTGTATGAAATATCAAAAAAATTATTTCTAAAAATGTAACAACAATATCCTGTATTTAACATATGTATACTTTTAATCATAACAATTCCCTATAGATATATATTTATATATATGCATATTATTATAACGCTATATAATAACTCATATAATACCAGAAGTAATTAGATAAATTTTTAAACTCTTTCTTACAATAGTAATTTTAATGTAATGTTGTATTCGGAATTATTCAAAATAATATTAGTTTAATTTATTTATTTAAAAATAACTTTCAAGATAAAGGCAAAGCCAGCAAAAAAACCACTTTCAGCCTATCTTGTTAGAGTCTTAATAGTACAATAGGGTAAATAGGCAGGGATCGGGTAATGTAAAAATTCAATATTATCCTTACTAAATTTAAAAATCTTGCAACGTTAACGAAGCTGAACCTCAGATTAGTACAAACAATGAGGTAATTAAGTAGATGAACGATGACATCAGATCTAAACCACAGTTTGGGCACACGTCAATAGTATATGAGTTTATTTGTTTATGCAATTATTTACCATTTTACTATATCTTGATTTAAGTTAAACCAAAAGAATTCCTACCCTAGGTCTGACTATAACAAACGGCTTTATTCGTAATAACTACCTATTCTGGTGAAACCTTATAGTCTTTTATTTTCGTAAAATTATTGGAACTATTATGAATAGTGTTGTTTTTGTTGTGGCCAAACGACTACGTCAAGGCAAGTACATAAAAGTTTGACAAGACACTGCACAATGGAGTGAAATAGTCGAATTAATGTGAAGTAATTTGGAGTAAAGATGTGCGTATAGAAAGGAATGTTAAAGCTAACCTAAATTCAGATGGAGAAACTGAATATGTTTGAGTGTTTCTGTCTCCCCTCCCCCCTCCTCACAAAGAGCTATGTATGCTATTCAACAGTTTTTTCGGGATAGTTTGCTATTGAATGATCTTGTTGAAGAGTACTTATATAAAGTAACCTCTAAAATTTTCAGTTCTTTTTTTTTGGTAATATGTGATTAATAATTATATTAATAGATTTAAGCCGTGCTCTTTTTAAAGTATAAACATAAATTTGTTTAAACTGAAACTCACATTTCATTTTTTAGAATATTGTGATAAGACTACAAGTCAATCTTATATCATTTTATATTATTCTATATTTAAAATTTTCAGTAAATAAGATATTGTTACGTTATTTGGAATAGGACAGGAATAGGAAGATTAAAATTACGATACATAAAACGAAAATGTGAAATTATAATTAAAAGTTGAAATAAAACTCACATCAGCATTAAAAGTTTACGGGGTTGGGAATCAAAACGAATAACGGTAGAAGCATTTTTATAGTCATAAAATGTACATATATAATTTTATATAGAATGCGCCCTTGTGTATTTACACCTAAAAATTATTGTACCAATTATGATATCCTTGGCGAACTTCGAGACCTCCCTTTAAATAGTATCATAAGCTTTACCAAAGGTTCTAGATGGTTTTAGCTCTTGGGTTTAAAATAATGCTGTAGCACAACGGGCCTATGGGCCTCCCCCCCTGGGATTGCCGGTATAACCTAACCTATGATCTCCTGGATAAGAACTGGTTAAAATATTTTTTATACTCTAAAATATCATAGTTTTAACGAAGCAAAAACGTAGTATATGTTATTAATATTTAATAACATTAATAATGTTTATTAACATTATTGATTTTCAAAGTTTTTTATAATGTAATACTAATTTATTGACAGAAATGATATAAAGTAATAATATATAATAATAATTTTAATTATTCAAATTTTTTTTTTCTTTTAGCTGTTTCAAATAAGCTTAAATACTTATCCAGAAATACTGATATCTTATCAGATCCCCCATCAACACTGCAAGAAGAAGTCGTAAAGGCCGTTCACAATACAAACGGTCAGCATCCAAATCTACACGGAACTTAACAATCGAAATTTGGGATTAAAGTGATACATGCGTTTTGAAACGCCTCTTTTTATAACTTTTATTGTTTATTTTATGCTCTAATTTTATTAAAATAATAATTTTAATTATTTTTTTTTTTTTTGATTTCGAAAGGAATAGTTACGATTCTTATTTATGATTTTATGAAAAAAACAACAACAATTGTACAAATATTAATTTTTTTATGCGAATTAAAAAATATATTTTTAATTAAAATTTATCAATGATTCATAAATTAATTATGTGCCTATATAAATTAATAGCATACCGTAATATATATATATACGTATATGTATATTAAGAAATAACATACAGATGCAATGCAAGCAAAAAAAAGAAGAAGAGAAAAGTAAACAAGATACAAAATAAAGATTTTACTATTTTTAATAAATTTTTTAATTGCTTTCAATTTAATAATGCTAAATGTAAATATAATACTTTTGCGATTACGATTTGGATTAAATTTTTATCAGAAGATAGTGTTTAAATGTCCTCCATGGAAAATCTAATACTGCAGCGTTATCTCGGCCATAACTTAATGAAGTCAAATATAATATCGCATATACATGTTCATTTACGGAATTCCACAAAATATCCATATTAATATTATATTATAAATTGCCAAACTTTAAACTAAACATATGATGTCTCTGATGTTAGCTCTCTGCCACATATGTCATAGCTTAATGCAATTAATAATGAATTCATAGTAATAAGGAAAAAAGTTTGTCGTTTATCTCACAATAAGTGATCGAGGAAAAAAATTTTGACCCACTTTATTTCAATTGTAAAATCATAAACTTGTATAAGCCACAATATTAAACGCCCAATTTTAAAGTACACAATAGTTTACCATTGTGGTTGTACCACCTGATTTATCAGAGATAACTTCGGCAATCGAAATGATGACAATAAATTTAGTATCAACGATAGTATTCGTGCTGAAACTTTAAAAGTTGACACTGAGGTTATGGCAGTCATACAGATGCCGCTATTTCAAAATATTTTGAGAGATGAAGAAATACCTAATGACCGAAAAATGCAATTACTATAAAGATACCTAAAAATGACGATCGAAAAAAGTGTGACAATTGACGCGAAATATCTATTCTACCAGCAATCTCAAAAATCTTTACTTAAATTATTTTAGAGCGTATATCCGCACCATTAGATAAACTAATCAGACCCGGTCATTCGTGAATTCTAATAGAACAGTCAGCTGAATGTAATTCATCCTTTTATCTGGCGTTAATCGATTTTGCAAAAACCATTTGTTGCATTAAAACGTAACGTTGTTTGGTATGCACTTTTGTCTAGAGGTGTAGAGACGAATCTTTTTCGAGTGGAACAAGGGTGCATTGCTCTTAATAACTGCATTAGACTTGGTATTTGTAGTTTATAATTGATGTGGCATGAACTGGAAGATGATACAAAAATTAGGCGATCTGTTATATGCTGATGCAGTACAGGCTGTCAAGTCCAACAAATGACGCTTTGAAGCTTGGCTTAAAAATTAATACGAAGAAGTCCAAATCGTTGCGAATTAATGTAAGCAACAACTTACAGTTTAAAATATCTGTAGAAGTCGTAGATGAGGTTCAAAAATATGAAGATTTGAGTAGTATTCTAACATCTGATGGTACCACATCTGATATCTAAAGCAATGGGCACGTTTGCCGGGTTGTCATGTCTATGATCGAACAACGCACTTAAAAGAGAAGCAAAAGTTAGAATATTCAATGCTTGCGTGAAAACCTTTTTAATTTATGGTAGCGAACCGTGGCACCTTAAACAAAAATCAGCTAGAAAGCTGTACATGAATAGATGTCCGCGTCGTATTGTTGGCATTTGATGGCTTCTCACTATATCTAACAAACGCTCGTGGTGAATTACAAATAAAAAATTGATCGAGATAGAGATAATGTGCAGAAAGTATAATGGATTGGATACTTTCTTCATAAAAACCCTAACGAAATACTGCACACAGCTTTACACTGGAACCCTCATGAGTAAGAAACAGAGGTCGACCCAAAATGGCTTGGTGTAGATGCTTCAACAAGAAGACCACAATGCCTTTCAGCGGGCATTCTACATTGCTAGAAACCGTGAATGTTGACTAAATTTTACACAAAACTAAAATCACTGAAATCATAAGGCAAGGAATAAATGATATAATGTACCCAACCACACTAATATATATAGTCAAAATTTTTCTGATTAAAAATATATTTTCACAATCTCTCAATATAGCGTTCATTATAATTATTGCAATCAAGTAGACGTTATACATACAGTTGATTTTATTGCATATTGAGTATGTGAAATGACATGCAGAAAGTGGATCAAGACTTAGAAAATGGTGACAAGATTTAAATTGTAACCATGATGTGAGCCTAATTTGGAGCAAGGTCTGAGGTAATATTAACAGTAAAATTATTATAGTGGACAAAGATGGTTTTTATAGAAATCGCATATTCATTGCACTACATATCATGCCATATGGATGATGGGTCAAGAGATAGCAGGTGGAGGTTATAATAAGAAATATTCCACAAAAAGAAGCTTCTTGAAATGCAGCACCGCATTTGGTGCAAATTAAAATTATATATCACAATTTATTCTCCAAAATCGTTACAATTTCATTTAATTTCTATATTATAGCTCAGTAATTTTTTATATCAAATTAATTTGATATATATATATATATATATATGTATATATATATATATATATATATATATATATATTATATATTATATATATATATATATATATATATATATATATATATATATATATATGTTCAAATCATATATAAATACCATCGTATGATGAGACATATACCGAACAGCGGAGAAGATGTTACATGTTACTATAGGCGTTGTATATAAAAGATTGATTTCAAGTTATTTTGCGACCACAGACGATACGGTCCCGAGAAGAAGGACTTTAATAGACTTGATTTATTAATTTAGACTTTAATTTAAGTAATTAAAAAATTTAAAAAACTCCGCAACCACTTTCCGATTCCTTGTTGGAAGAAACGATTAACACTTAATCATATAAAAAGACGAGGCACTTCTGAACGTAGATCTAAACGCTGCATTTTTGTATCGCATTGTTTGTGGAGCCAAACTCCTATGGGTGAACAATTATATTTAAAGTGTGATAAATTAGACACTCAACGCCGGAATTAAATATTTATGTCTACAAAACAATAATCTGCAGATACGGCTTACTGTGATATGCTGAAAAAATATGATACCTTTACTACTCACCATAAACCCAGGTCAATTTTATGGTCTAGTCAAAGGAACTCTGTCTATTCTTATGAATGGCGCTGAGGAAAAAGAAAGAGAACTCTATTGGGAAAGGTTACCAGAACTCTCACAATCTAAAATGCTGTTAGGGACTTACAACCTAAAACGCTTCAAGAATTGCATACCACAATCAAAAAACAATCTAAGAATTATTACGGGATTATTGACACGTCACTGTAGATTAAATAATAACCTATCGAAGTTAGGAATTCAATCCAACTCAGACTGTAGATACTGTAGAGAAGAGAGAGAAACTGCATACCATGTGCTTTGGGACTGCCCGGCACTGATGCACAAGCGAAAGAAATACCTAAGTGGGTATTTCATGGATTATGAAGATTCAAGACTAGGAAATGTAAGCTCTGTACTGTATTTCATTAAAGAAATCGGAATTAAAGAAACACTCTAACCCGTGTAATGGGCACAATAGATGTTTTAGGTCGCAGTGCACAATCCCTTCTTTATAATTAATGATAATAATAATACTCACCATTAGTGGTCGATTGTAACTTATACACTACGTTAGAAAAACGAGCGCAATGCAAAAATAAACGAATTATAATAATGTTAAGGTACATAATACTGTACCTGTTAAACATTATTTGAAGGAATAAAATGTTATTTTACTGGCTGTACTCGCCAAACATTACTGCTTCAGGTTATCACTTTTTCCGGTCCATAAACAGTACTCTCAACAAATAAATTAGCAATTTTGAAAAAGTGATAGGCATTGTTCCCACGCGCAGTTCTTGAGTTGCTGGAAAGGGAGGTACAGGTTTCAATGGGGAATGAGGATTTCATAAGAAGATCTAAAATTGAATCACATATTCAATACCTGAAATAAAAATTCAATGTTCGTTCGTCTCACAATCTTTTTTATTAAGTTTTCTATTTAAATTTATTTTAATTGTTCTATAAATTTTTTTGTTGTAGCTTAAATCACAATAAATATTGCTATATTTCTTTGGTTTCATTGCAAATAATACAAAATTCTTTTATAAACATTTTTACGCATACTTAAAAATAAGGTTTTTTGTATAATATTTTAGCTTAATATTACATTTTTCTTAGTGTAAAAACGTGCAAATATTTTATAAATATTTAAATGTTAATAAAATTATTTTTTATTTGGATTTTTAATTTTTGTTATATAAAAAAATTCGTATTGCATTTTTTGTGGCATATTTTTTAAGGCAAATATAAGTCACTTTTATTGTTTCTATTTTAATTTATAAAAAAATAAATTATTTTATTTATAATAATAAAAGCTCAGTTTTGCGAAAATTCATTATTTATATATTATTGATAATTATTTTAAAATGTTTAAATTTTAAAAATAAACCTCTTATAAAAGTTTTTGTTAAGCGAGTTCAATTTTCAGTATAATAGTATTTATTTACTTTTGGTAGTAGCGAACTTTTTGAGTTGTATGCAATATAATTTACATTCACATTTATTATTTTTGTTTTTCTTTAGTCATTAATTTTTATCATATTTATATCACTTCTAAGTCCAAAGCTATATATTTAAAAAATTAAATAAAAGTTCTCAATATCATTTACTTAAGTATAACTTTAATACATTGAAAAATGTCATATGGAATATGAATTGTCCTACTAAATTGAAATTATACACAACAACTTAACTCTGCCGAGAAAAAAATTTGGTACTCATAATAGCTTAACATATACATATATAATAAATTTAATAAAAATAAGCAAACACAAATTGCCAGATACTGGGGAAAATAAATATCAAATACGAACACAAGTATAATTTCACAAAGATAACACCAAAACTGAAGAAATATGCTAGCTAACAGCACCCAAAATGACATATAATCCAAAAGGTATTCCCATTAAATTTAAAAATTTCTATAAAATGTCTATGTCTAAATATGAGTTGCCCTACTAAACTGAAATTATAACATTTATGAAGACAACAACTTAACTCTGTCCAGAAATAAAATTTGGTACTCATATTAGCTCCTACATAATAAATTTAATAAAATAAGTAAACACAAATTGCCAGATACTGGGGAAAATAAATATCTTATACGAACACAAGTATAATTTCACAAAGATAACACCAAAAATGAGTAAACATGCTAGCTAACAGCACCCAAACTGACACCTAGTCCATAAAGGATTTACATTTGGTTTAAATACTTCTGTAAAAGGCTAAGCTAAGTGAAAAAAAGTCCAATGCGATGAGGCGTAAAGGAAGGAATAGCTTTGATCTTATTTTTCTATACCTTTTCAAATTAAAATATGCTAAATATTTCTAAAAAAATATACCTTAAGTTAAATACTTTAATAATCCCTCATTATCGATCAAAAATATAAAAGTTCATTTATTATTATCTGGATAATTTAGAAAGTTGAAAAGAAATATACCTTTTTATAAAAAACAACATAGAATTAATATTAGATGTTACTAGGAATACTTCCTAATGAAAATATGCTTAAATTTAAAGTCTATTAACAAAAACTTGTAAAAGTTTTTTCTAAGTCTACAGATTTTGTAAAAAAGATGAGGGAAACAACAAATACATGCTACGAGAGTACAATAGCCGTATTTTTTTCTCTCAGAGTTGAGAGAAAAACAGCATTAAGTCTGGTTAAAACAAATTGGCATCACTTTTAAAATATGTTAAATGCTTATTTTTAACATATGATTTTTGTTGTGTTGTGTAAAATATATAATATAAAAATTGCAAACACTAAAAATAAAATTATTTAAATAGAAGAAAATAAAATGAATTTTAGAAGGGCAATGGTTAGGTTTTTTATCTTATATATTTAAATTAATTTATTAATTATTAAATTTTGAATATGCTTCTCAACCTAATTTTTTTAATAATGTTTTTTTTATATATTCCATATACGGCTATAGGTTATTATAGATCAGTGCAATATAGAAAACGGAATTAAGAGCATGACATTTAGATATAGATTTTATTAATATTAATTTATGTTAGATCCTGATCCTGATGATGTCGCTCAAGGAAAGTCGAAATATAGAATATAATAAAGAATATTAAACAAGCGCTTAATTTTATTTTAAGTAAAAGTGACCTATAGCCGAATATGGAATATATAAAAAAACATTATTAAAAAAATTAGGTTGAGAAGCATATATGGAATATATAAAAAAACATTAATTTATTAATTTATGTATTTGAATTTATTAGTAAATGAAATGTTAATATGATTTTACCGGATGACTGGCATTTTGCAACACATTTTAAGTGTATATTCACAATAGACTAATATTTAAGTCGTAAAATTTTTAGAGAATGAAACCTAACTCTTAAGATTTTAAGAGCATTGTTGTTGCCTCATATGTTTTCTTTCGTGAATTGTGAGTATTTTTTTGCTATTCTGAAAGAAAAAATTACGCCTATATGATACATAAACAAAATGTACCCTCGAGAGAATATATATCCGATACCTCAGTAAAATAAAACAAATAAGTAGTACTATTTTTCAAAAAAATAAGATTGTAAGTAAATCAGTTGACTATAATTTCCAAAAAAAGACGAAACTTAATATAAATATTTTTTTTTCTCTTTTTTTTAAATTGATATTCTAAATTTAGAATCTGAGTTGCTTATAGCAACTATGTAATATAGACTATATATATGTTGCTATAGTGCTATATAGCATATATATAGCAACATTTAGAACTATATAATAATTCTGATAATTTTAAATTCTTTTAAAAATCTATATAAGAATGTTGGATAGAAACTACAAATATGCCTTCAATTATAATATTAAGCATTTAAGCTGTATAATCCCAAATTTCCCCGAAATCCTTCTAATTTGGATTTAATTTCATTTAGTTTCATAGACCACTTTTGCAAAGATCCTGTAATGGATATACTCATAGATCAGAACAATAATAATTATAATTATAAAGATAATAATGATAACGATAAGCTAAGTACATAAATCAACTTAACTATTATAAATTGTTACTTTTTTCAATTTTTTTTACCTTATACTTTTGTAAAAATTATAATTCTCATATGTTTAGTTATGGATTATGGAAAAAATTATAATTTCAGGTCTTTACAACAATTCAAACCTAAACTTTTTCAATGTATTAGACCTTTAATATTCTATTATGTTACACAGCTTCAGACCTAGATTTTTTTTTTCAGTTTTCTGAACAACTTTAATAATGTTGTTAAATATATATTATATAAAATTAATTTTAAAATATACAGATACTTACTTTAAATACAAATATATATCAATATAAAACATATATACAAATTATAAAATTATAGTTTTGACTAATTAGAGTTAATTAACTTTATACGATTTAAATTAAATTATAAATTATGTATATATAAGTATAAAATATATATTATAAATAAACTGATTTTTATAAAATTTTGAATAAAATTCTATTAAAATTCAAATATTGTTACATTAAATTTTGGTTTTGAATAAAAATAATAATACAATAATTTTATATTAATTTATAATTTTTAAATTTGATAAATCATAATTTTTTAATTAGTTCATTTCTCTTTGTTATTGTACATTTTTTTATAAATTTAATTTTTAAAAAAAATTTCATTATTTTTCTAGTTAAAAAAAAAAGGATTTGCATTTTACTTATAGTTCATATATATATTTTAGTTCATATATATATTTTTAAAAATGTTTCATGCTTATTTGTGGACATTTGTACGTATTAATATAAATCACTTTAAAACATTTATTGTAAAATTTTTAATATAAATTAAGGAACTTATGATGAACACAGTTGAGCAAATATAAAATTAATTTTTATGTAAAAATCAAAAAAATATGAATTTTATTTATTGAATTATTATTTTTAATGGCCTTTAACGGCTTATATTTAAATGTTTGTATAATTAAAATTAAAATGTTTTATTAGTTTAGTTTTATATATTTTTAAAATGTCATATATATACGTATATATGTATTTTATATATGATAAACAAAACTCAAATAATAAGAAAACAATAAGTTCGCCAAAGGTGTTCGAAAAATCCAAATGTCGAAAAATAAGCATAATTAAAAAATATAGAATTTGGTCATTAATATCATAAAGCTTATGAGCATATATATATATACATATATATATATATATATATATATTTAGTTGTCCCCTAATTAAACGCTACTTCAATTTTAGTTTTATTAATTTTTCCGGGTGTTAATAATTTCATAAAAATTACAAAATGTGTCTATGTGCGTTAATTATAAAAATTACATAAAAAATTTTTAATTAAATGAAATTTTATTTAAAATAAAATTTTTTGAAGGTTCAGGCAAGTTATGATTTATTGTTAGTATTTTTCTAAGTAAAAATTTGTACATTCAGCAATACAGAAATTTTTTTACTTATACAGAGTTTATATCAGGTAGTATAATATATACAGATATAATAATCGTAAAAACTTACTTCTTTACGAACTATTTACTGTATACAGTGTCTGTAACAAAATAGATGTGTATATTTGTGAAGGTGTAAGCGCGTGTATGTGTGAATTCATTTGGTGTGCTGTTATATGTAGATTGGTCCAACCAGTCATTCAATATTCACAGACAGTTATAGACGGCCCACACCCAACCGCTTAAACATTCACATTCCTAGCTATGTAATTTTTTTTGCCCATTTGAGATCATCATCACGAGGTTTATAACCAGTTATAGATTCAATTATTATTTCTAGCGTAGACCAAAATCTGAAAAATAGCGATATTAATAAATATATTTCAATATAAAGCATAAAAAATGTATATCTGTAAATAGAGTGGAAATCGCATAATAAAGGAAATATATTAAAAAGCCAATTTAGATTATGTAGATTATGTGTATACCGAGAATAGTTTTATAAATATATAAGAAGATAGATGTAATTATAATTACAATGAATACTTCTCAAAAACAAGTAACACCCTTAATTAGACAGTTTTGAACAAAATCTTTGCACAGATCAAAGGAGATTTCACAATATCTCATTAAGAGGTTTTTCGAACAGTAGTGAACTACAACAACAAAAATTTTATTTTTTATATTTTTTTAATTAATTGAATTTTTGGCTGATCATACAGCTGTTTCGAGTATTGCCAAATACCCATCATCAGTGGTCTTGGAAATAATTCTTGTATTTAATTATTCGTAAATAATTATTTTTGAGACTGCAAGTACCAGGAATCGAACTTGGGTCCTCTCATTTGATTTCTGATAATATAGAGTAGGTACAAATACTATATGAATGAAATTCTAGTCACGAAGACCAATAACAAACAGTTAAACGAATGCTTTCAATGGATGACGTCCTTAACTGGACAGTTTTAAGCAGAAATCTTGCTTAAAATAGTGTAGGTATAACTGCTATCTGAATAAAATTATTATCTCAGAGACCAATAACTGCTAAACAGACGCTTTATTGGTCTTTGTCAGTTCAAACAGAGGCCTTGCACTAAGCAAAAGTGATATTACAATTTCGATACGATTTCTGTTCATGTAGAGTAGATACAGGTATTATCTGAATAAAATTGTTCTCTCAGCGACCATTAACTGACGCTTTTGTAAAATGAATTTTGATACTGGCCCATAAAACATCAAAACTATATAAGGTCGAACATTCAAAAAAAGCCTTAGAATTGGTTAAGGTAAGTGGAATTAGAATAATACACCACTTAAGCCCTGGTGCATAATACTCCCCATACATTAATATTAAAAGTAAAAATAAATCAAGCGAATGTAATTATTATTTGATGGCTGCTTAAAAGAGCTTTCACAGAAATAACTACACTTACTGTCTAATGTTAGTTGACATTAGGCAAATGAAGTTTTTATTCCAATTCCAATAACAATATCTGGTTTTCAAGAAAAAAATTGCAAGTTCAAAGTTGATATTTTAAAAGTTGACATATTGATGCATAATATAAAATATGTTGCAAAAAGTTATTTAAAATTAATATCTTTACTAAAATGGTCAAATATGGTCACCCCCATAGTCAAATGGGGGTGTCCAGTAATTAAAATCACATCAGTCAAACATACACTGAAGTCTTTCAACAGGAGCATTTCACCAGGACAACGTTAGATATATTGAAATATATTACGAGTATTACTAAATGTAGAACCCATAAAGACGGACAAAATATTGACGAATCGACAAATAAATTAATAGCTTAAATATAGTTTATACTTCACTGGTTATTATTTTAACGTAAATTGTTAGAAAAAATAAATAATACTTTGCTTATTATCATAATACCTTATTTTTTCCAGAGGCCAGTTCAGCCAACCAGTTGTTATGCAAAAGTAAGTTTCATGAGGCGCCACATGATGTATACGATGATGTTTGCGTGGCAACACGATATGATAATTTTGTAAAAATAATACCCATCTTGGTAAAGCAACGTACGTGTGTGACCATTTATGAATCTAAAAAAAAATTATTTTTAATATACATAAAGCTCCTAGTTTTAAGTTATTAAATTAATCAATATTGCACGTATGCAAGTATGAACTCGCAATTTTCGAAGAGTTGGAGTGATTTTGATTGGCCGGCTGCTCCAATTTGACAACGGATTTATGTAGAATCAGCTATTTTAAGCTTCTTCTCCACAGACATCGAGATTTAAAGTTCTAGATTTCTAACATAGACAACAGACGGCACACCTACTTATGGTTAAAAAAACGGTCTGGTGTACGTCCCGTAGCCACGCGTCTCCAGCGACGACCAAGTGCCGTTCGACACCTCCCGAAAAGACTTCACAAGCAGATCCCAGCGGATTACAACAACAATGTCTACTTATTAAGGCTGACTTTTTCCAAAATTATACAACTTTAAAAATATCTTATATCCAAAATCTTAAAAATTAAGCCATGGTAATATAAAGCGTAGTAAAATAAGTTATTCGAAATATCTGTTTTTACTAAAATCCATTGTCAAATGGATATGCCCGGAAGTCGAAATAATGCTGAAGACTTTTAGTTACTAGCTGAGCTACACAATTTAATAAACAACAGTACTCCTATATAGATATTTACCTGATTTGTCATTGCAACAAAAATTGAACATAAAAATAAATACGAAATCCACCAGAAATCTTGCTGTATATCACTGTGAGATTTAGTATTGAAACTATAAGCAAGGAATCCTAAAATTGGTATGCTAATCATGAAATTGTCGCCATTAGTCTCAATAAAGTCATGACGTGTTATTGATGTGGGATCCAAGTGATGTTCTCGAAAAGGACGTAAAAAATTCTAAAATAATAGCTTTTAGCATTATCATTATTTAGCATATGATAAAATTGGTATATTTACTTTGCCAATAATAGGTAAATCTACTGTGCCCCAAGTGTCAGCAGCCCAGTGCACGAGTCCAGAACCAAAGTCAGCTGTTATGATGCCACAAATCGCCGATATACAAGCAATACTGAGCCTATCGAAATGTATATGCTTGAGTATTAGCATAAAATCTATTATCATCAACGCAATGCAAGTGTAAACACAAATAAATTCTTGAGCCCGTTTACCTAAAAGTATACAAGGAAAATTGTTATTATTTATAAATCATAAATTTATATGTAAATAGAATAAATATTTTAAATAAATAGAATTTTTGCTACATAAAAAATATTTCAAATTTTAGCAAAAACAGAAATTTTACATACAACTCACATAGGAATTATAACGACATGACGCTGAAACAAATTTAAAACTTGTCGGGACTGCTGGCTTGGCTCTTCACAAAACGTAGTGGGGTATTATAAATTCCCACTTACGGTTTTTCTAAGCCAAAGTATCAATTGATCTACTAATTAATAAAGTGATCAATTAAGTGCTGCGTTTTGTACTCAAGTTCACTTTGCTCACTACAACAAGTTTGGTCAAGATTTCTGATCGTCTAACTAGGTCGGATGACCTAGTAAGTCATATGGTATATGCACTGAATATTATTTTCAAGTCTATTTTTTTTCATGAAGTCTGCTAGAACGAAAATGTTGGTTTTGTAAACAGTCAATGGAATTCTTAACACTTAACTGAAATAATTTTAACTGAACTTTCGATCGTTGGCACATTTGCTTAATTGTTACTTAGTCGGCCAGTTGTCATGAGTTCCGTTTTCGATTTTTGAATTTCTGGCTCGAAGTTATCATGACTTCTGTTTCTGACAAATGAATGATAATTTTTTTATCAGTATGGTAAGCTTCACTTGATTAAACCACATTACTACTATTTCATCTTCATATCTTGAATCGCAAATTTTCCTCTTCCCAATAGGTATACCTGCATTTAAACTTTAAATAATCAGCCTCAGCGTGTCTGTATGTTAAACTATATTGGAGAGATTATGCAACCTTATCAGTGTCAGCTTCAGCTTTGAATACATTGGATGTTATTTAGTTCATTCCCACTCTCGTTGTCGTTGTTACCATAAAAGTTGTTTATCATGTAAATGCGTTAACTTAGTTCATCGAGCTAGGATTGTGCCCACAACGGACGATAAACAAATAAACACGGACAGATAAATACACCAACACGGAAAAACAACGACCATATTATCGGATGGACAACGAGCAGCCAACAAGGGAGCTACACAGCTGAAATCAGCCGCCTCACACACGCAATACACTCATAAATGCACAAATTCACCTACTCATACATGTTGCCTCAGTTGGAACACCAAGACACGACAACGGTTAAATACTGTGCGTGCAAATGCATCCAGCCTGTGAAAACTTTCAGCATTAGTAAGTACCGTACTCACATCATATACATCTGCTGTTTTCTCCTAACACCCATCGTATCCAAGTCTTTTATATTCTCATACAATGGAGATTCACATGCACTCCCATGCATCCACTCTTCCAAGTGATACCCACAAATATAGTACGAGAAGTCAACTAATGCAAAAGTGCATTAAGAAACCCATGGTCCGTCAGGAGATAACCAAGACTCAAACCGAAACCAAAGTTTGGTCTATCCTTAACGAAATTGATATCCTTTATATATTCGTAAATCACTCTTCCGCATTCGCATTCATTCCATCTAGTTTGCCATCTAGATGTCACGCATTTATTCAATAACCTCGCAATCTGTGACTTATTTGAGGTCAGCACATTGATATTTGGCAGGGGATATTGGACACAATAGACGTGCAAGATAAAAGAAGTTGTGCTATAAGTTATGCACACCTCCTCTGAAAAGGAGATAGAAGGTGTCTTACTGCGGAAGTAAGATATACCTGACATAAGAAGTGCCTAAAATCCAGTTGGCACCATCCGATACTGTTTAAAGTACAAATGGAAGTGAGTGAGTTTCACCTGCAGCACATGACCGGAAGTGCGAATCTGGTATCATGAGAATCAGAGGTTGGCCTGTTAAAGAGAATATCGTGGTGGTTGCGATAAAAACATAAAAACTACGCAGGTAGAATAGAATTACTTTCATTTATTGTGGAGTTACATTTTCCAGCGGATTGCTGTGCACTAAAGAACACAGAAGAGCTAATAACTTTAAAAACTAAGGATTCTATGGTTAATGCACTCCGTAATGCATCCTTTTTAGAAGAATAATGAAATATATTTGCTGCATAAATTTTATGGAATGACTTTAATATCACTTCATTTATGCATGGTGCTTTTCTATTTTTAAGCAATTTTTTTTGCATTTTCAATGTCAGGCCTTAATATTATAAGTTCGTTCTAATTGTATAAATAAATGCATTATACATATAATATAGAATTTTCGAAAATTTTTGCAAATACTTATTTTGAATATTTAGATATAATCCCGGTGAACACAAATCTCGCAACTGTACAACTTCGCCACTCTGCCGTTATTGCAGTTGTGAGATATATGAAATCCTATTACATAGGACCAGCAATACTGTGCGTCCAGTTCTGTGCATTTTGCGACGGGAGAGTGGCGATGCTGTATTTTTTTTGGATCTTTATGTATAGCGGACCTTATAAAAGTGCAGCTTACAATTGATATGATAAACTTAAATATACTACAACATTTACCTGGACTGTATAATTTGGCTAACTCTTGTGCACCTTTATGTTGTGGGCCCCAACGTGGTGATGTTTGTTCTGTAAAAGTTTGCTCTAAAGCAGAGTTACCGTTTGGATCATCTTCAAGCATTGAATTTTCTAATATCTCTCTATCGCTTTTTGTGGTCATCTGAAAATAATAGAACTTTACTATAGTGTACTTTCATATAAATACATTTTTTAATGTACTTAAGTATATCCGATTTTCTGTTATGTATATAGTATTAGAAACAATCTGTAAAATAAATTCATTCGTTATAGACTATTGTCATTCCTATTGCTATTAAACACTTCTAAATAATATTGTTGAAAACAATCATTTTTATGTTTTTTATTAAATATTTATGTTTATAAAATATTAATATTGGATCAGGCGATACCGACAATTTATGAGTGATACCGACAATTTAAAGTACAAACTCTCTGAATGTGGGAACAATTTTAAACATACAATTTTTCTTTCTTACATTTCCTTAACAATTTTTATTAAATATTTAAGGCGTGAGAAATAAAACATTTGGAATTGCACACCGAATGTAGTTACATATGGGCCTTCGCAAATATAGTACCAAATAGCAGGGTGACTCAACAAAATTTTGAGATTAAAAAGAAAACTAAATAAGAGTATGAAATATAAACTATCAGTCATTGTTATTATTTTAAGAAAAATAAAATATATAATTTTATTTATTTAAAAAAGTATTTAAAGCTGGAATATATATGTTTATTTAAGACTCTTGAGATCGAACATTATTAATAGAGTAACAAAACTGCAAATATATCAAAGCAATATACGCCTATTTTTAACCAATGGGTGAAGAATTTGAGCAATTACTTCTCTTGAGCGCAAAATATTGAGAAGAATTTTTAAGGTCATTAAAAATAATAGGATTGTATCAGCCAGATGTAACTAAATTATAAAAATACTCCACGAAGCATATAACTTATTTACAACTTTTAAAAAAATGAAATATTTATTGTATAAAATGTATGGAATTCAAAAATTTAATAACATTGGGCTAAGTAGGCAAATGAGAAATAAAGCCCTCTCTTGACAAACAAAAATGACGCTCTACAAGTCTCTTATCATGCCTGTCTTGCTGTATAATGCAAAAACTTGGACAATTACCAACAGTGATGAGAAGACCTTAGGAGCATTCGAGAGAAAAATTCTTCGGAAGATTTATGGTCCCTTACGCGTTGGCGACGTGTATTGAATTAGATGGAACGATCAGCTGTATGAGCTATACCGCGACATTGACATAGCTAAGCACATAAAAATTCAGCGGCTTCGCTGGCTTGGTCATGTCGTGCGAATGGAAGAAAGTGCTTCGGTTAGAAAGGTGTTTGCTTCAGTACCCGCAAGTGGAAAACGCAGTAGAGTACGTCCGCATCTGACCAGGTGATCAACGATTTGATGGCACTACCAACTGGCGACAACAAGCAACTAATCAGGTTGGCTGGCGGAGGCTTTTCGACGCGGCCAAAGACGACTCACATCTGTAATGGTCAAACTAAGTAAATAATGACATTGAGAAACTATCATCTTATTGACTTGTCTGAATATGTTACAGATAAAAATCGTTTTATGTCGGTTTGTATAACTTTATTTAATAATCAATATATTTGATAGATATGTTGAACCAGTTTTCAGTGCTTTTTTTACATACACACAGGTGTATAAATATCTGTAAGATTTGTAATTATAGTTAGATGACTTTTTCCATCATTATTGGGATAGTACTTTACATGATTAAATTTAAAGATATTTTTATATAGGCAATTGCATACAAAACATCATAGTCACATAACATTGAGTTTGGGAGTTAAATTTATCTTTAAAAGTATTTTTGTACATTTTATGAATAAATACACAGTTGAACAACCTCTGCAAATCATTTGAATTAATCACCAAAATTATATATCCGTACAATTAAACATTTCGTGCAACTTGTTAACTATTTGTTGTGGAAATTATCGACCTGTTAGGACGAAAAATTAAAAGGACTAATGCTTTTAATTACTCTGTAGCTTATATTGCTTTGGTCAGTAATAATAAAAACAAAACCGAATGAATTTAAAGAAGTTTCTTTAAGTGTCCTACAAAATTAAAAAGATATTCGCCCTCTCGTCTATAAATAACCACTATTCTTTAGCAAAGAAAAGCTATGGTTGTTGGAGAACGAGACACCTCTGCCTGTGATGATATTATCTGAACAAGATGGGTTCGCATTTTATGAAAAATTTTTTTCTCTAATAAATTTGTGTACAATAACTTTGCTTTTATTCGTCCAAATATTATGAAATTTTGACAGAAGATGGGAAGGGGTCAAATGGCAGTTCATTTTACAGAAAGACCTGCTAACCTAGACCCTAACAGATGGCTTATTTTAATATGAATGCGCTAACTGTCGCGGTAATACAGAATGCAATGTTGTTAATGCTTATGGTAGTTATGACGCACAGTCATTTTAAAAAGATTAAACCTTAAATAGATGGATTGATAAATACTTAGACTAAGTAATATAAACGCATTATTTTGGAAAATTATGTTTAATGCTTCAATATAGTCCCCTTTTAAGTCGATACACCTAGTCCAACGATCTTTCAACATTTGAATACCTTTTAAATGATACGATTTATCAAGTCCTCCAAAATATACCTCAGGTTCCTATTTCACTTCATCATTTCATGCAAATCTCTTTTCCCAAAAGCCATCTTTGCAAGTTTAAAAACTGGTAATAATCTATGGGAGCCAAAAGTGGAGATTACAGTGGATGAGGAAGCAATTTGTACCATAATTTGTTTAAATTTTTCATGGTTTTCATTGACAAGTGAGCGGGTGTGTTATCCTACAAAACAATTTTTTTTTTTTGACAAATGTGGTCATGTTTTCTTGATTTTCTTATTCAATCAATCCAATAATATGCAATAGTAGTTTGATATAATTATTTTTCCTTTATAGTAATTCAAATAGTCTATGAAAAGTATTCCACTTGAATTCTAAAATACGAAAAACAAAACTTTTTCAGCCGATTGTTGAGTTCGTGGACGTTTGGGCGCACTATCCACGGGCTCTACTCATTCTCTGGCTTGTTAATTTCTCTAAAGTGTGAAGTAATGGATCCATGTTTCATTAATTGTCACTACTTGACAATTTACGCTTACAGTTAGCTAGATTGTGCATAAACATTTCCAAACAATGTTTTCAATGATGATTTCGTTGTGGTTTTGGATCAATTGTGAACAAACGCGGTACACACCTCATACCCAAATATATATGTTAAATATTCGATAAACGTTTATACGATATGTTTATCATGTCTGCCATCTGCTATCTCACACAATTTGATTTTTGGATTATCTAAATATCTACAATATCGTAGACTTTTTCAATGTTTTTATCAGTTGTGACCTCTTTTGGAAGACACGGACGATTTTCATCAAAAACACTCGTAGGACCAGTTTTCTAATATTTATTTGTTGTTAGCAATAGTGCAAGGTTGTCGTAAACAGAAACCATTTCCAATCTGATTGCATCATCGTTCATTCCTTTCGGATGGAGGAATTTTGTTATTCAACGATATTTAATTTTTTTCTTATAATAAAAAATCACCAAAGTACACTATTTCAATTATTTGCAAAAAGCTAACCAAACATCCGATCAAGTCGATCGGTTGTCGTTTAAAACTTGCCAAATATACAAAATATAAATAATTTTGTTCTGGCGTTGCCACCTGTTGTGAAGTCAGGTAATTATCAATTCACCTAGTATAATAATTGGATATGTCGATATAGATTAGTGATTAAATTTTTAACTTTAGAGTATGAGTATGATATGTTCACATATATAATAGAGTAGTGGATAAACCAGCTCAGATATTTCAAGATATCTCAAGAACCCAGTTAAATAGCATAGTCAAGATACCTGCTCAGATATCTCAAGATATCTCAAGAACCCAGTTAAATAGCATTGTCTTAAAATTTATAACTTTAGAGTATGAGTATGATATGTTCACATATAGAGTTGTGGATAAACCAGCTCAGATATCTCAAGATATCTCAAGAACCCAGTTATATAGCATTGTCTTAAAATTTATAGCTTTAGAGTATGAGTATGATATATTCACATATAGAGTTGTGGATAAACCAGCTCAGATATCTCAAGACATCTCAAGAACCCAGTTAAATAGCATTGTCTTAAAATTTATAACTTTAGAGTATGAGTATGATATGTTCACATATAGAGTTGTGGATAAACCAGCTCAGATATCTCAAGATATCTCAAGAACCCAGTTATATAGCATTGTCTTAAAATTTATAGCTTTAGAGTATGAGTATGATATATTCACATATAGAGTTGTGGATAAACCAGCTCAGATATCTCAAGATATCTCAAGAACTCAGTTAAATAGCATTGTATTAAAATTTATAACTTTAGAGTATGAGTATTATATATTCACATATGGAGTAGTGGATAAACCTGCTCAGAATATTGAAATTGGAGATAATCCGTTGTCAACACGCTTTGCTGGGAAATTGCATCTTTAAATTGAGTCCTTAAATATTAAGTATAAAGGACGCAAGAAATAGAAAGCACAATATTTTCTTGCACCTTTCGTATTTACTAAAATTTATTTAAAGGCTTGCTTTAAAAATAATATTACAATGTTCTTTGTGAAATAAAAATACAATATAAAAGCACTAAATTACATCTGAGCTCACAAATAAAGTATCTTGCAACCTATTAAAAAGGAGCTATTGTTGCGGAACCCTTTATATGCATAACGCATATGAGCAGAACGTAAAAAAAGTGCAATTTTAAACCACCTGTTTAACTTCCATGTGGGCTTTTGACACTATTATTGACAAGAGGGGAAAGCAAGCTGGCAATTTCATGAATTTGCAATTTTTCATTGTATTACTGCTACACCTGAAAAGAAATGGTTTAAAATGAAACTAAAATGGTTTACCGCATGCTATAAAGTTAAAGGTAACTTGCTTTATATGAATGATTGACTAGATTGAAGTACAAGTAAATATGTGTATATCCGGAAAGTATTTTAGATTACAAATAATGAGGGTATAAAATTGACACCGGAAAATATTTCTGTTTTTGAGAACTTTCAAGTTTGTATTATATTGAATATATATTATATTGAATATATATTATATTGAATATATATATATTATGTTATATTTGTTTTTTAATTAACTTTTCTTTGAATTCAAAAATATACTAACGA